TTTTCTTAAGAGATGCGGTCTTGCTCTGTTGCCCAGGCTGGTCTCAAACTTCTGGCTTCAGGAAATCCTCCTGCCTCAGCCCCCCCAAAGTGTTGGGATTACAGGGATGAGCCACCAAGCCTGATGCCACTCCTTCCTCATGTCCCCGCTTCCCTAACCCTTCCACTCCCAAACATTTTGACTTTGCAAATAACCCTCCCATGGGCTAGACTCTAAAGGTACCCAGGACCTCATCAAGTATAAAAGGGCATTTGGACTCATCACAAATCCTGACCCCCAGAGGGTCCCTCCTTGTATTGAAACAAAAGAGTGGTTTGCAGAGGCATGTGGTCAATCCGGGTTGTATGCTGTGCTAACAGACTTCCTCTGTAAAACAGGGCAATCATGGTGGCATTCTCAAACAGGAGAAAATGGGAGAATGCATGTAGAGTGCTCAGCCGAGTGTCTGGCTGCAGTCACAGGACTGGCGTTTGAAGAAACCATGGCTGCTGCTTGAATTTTTAAGATGTGGCTGTAAGATGAGTCAGTGGCTCCCTCTTCCTGTTCCCGTTTACCTCCCTTAGCTGCACCAGGGGCGGTATGCGCAGGGCACCCTTCTGAGATAAGCACCCTGGGAAGACAAGGCAAGGCTTTGGGCATGTCTTCACTGTCATTAAACATTGGGTGTTCACAAAGACTGGTGAATTTCAGAAGATGGGGCCATAGTCCTTGTCGTTAGCTCTACTGGGGCACTTTTCTCAATGCTGGGTCGTTAGAAGGTCCCTTTGGATTGGGCGAGGGAGGAGCAGAGGAGGTGAGGAAGGAAAAGCAACAAGGAAGGATCACACCCATTGAGTAGAGCATGGAAGTAACCAACCAGTTAAGGAGGGCCTTGGATCACCTCAATCTTCTCCTTCAGAGTCCTACCTCTTGCCTCTTCTCTGAAGTTTCATAAAATAGAGTTTATTTCATTATGCCTGCCTCTTGCTTTCAGAAAATGCAGCTCTAAGGGAACGGCCTTGTAAATTTGCTTATACTAACATGTAAATGATTGCCGGGGCTTTATACTAGCTCATTTTCCTTCTTCTTTTTTTGAATCAAGGTCTCACTCTGTCTCGGGCTGGAGTTCAGTGACATGATCATGGCTCACTGTGGCCTCGACCTCCTGGGTTCAGGTGATCCTTTTGCCTCAGTCTCCCAAGTAAGCTGGGAGACTTATGTTGCCCAGGTTGGTCTCAAACTCCTGAGCTCAAGCAATCATTCCCAAAGGGCTGGGATTACAGGATTGAGTCACCACATATGGCTTTTTTTTTTTTTTTTTTTTGAGACAAAGTCTTGCTTTGTTGCCCCGGGTGCTCATAGCTCACCACAACCTCGACCTCCTGGGCTCAAGCAATCCTCCTGTCTCAACTTTCTGAATAGCTGGGACTACAGGCATATACCACCAAGCCTGACTAACTTTTAAAAAATTATTATCTTTTATAGAGATGGGGGTCTCTGTTTCCCAGTCTGGTCTCAAACTCCTGACCTCAAGCAATCCTTCCACCTTGGCCTCCCAAAGTGCTGGAATTACAGGTGTGAGTCACTGCACCCCGCCATGACTTTCAATATAATACAAATGGGCTCTGGTTTCCTAGCTCTTTGGGGGGTATCCTCGACCTTCCCTCTCCGGCCCTCCTGCCCCATGACATCCCAGGTCATGACTGGTGTGTTTGAGAGGAGTTCGTCTCATGGGCAGGTGGTCATCCTGGATACAGTCCCAGACTCCCCATCTGCCTGGTGGCCTGGGACCAAATTAAGGCCTGGGTCACATGATGCTACCCAAGGGCTCGTGGGTGGCATCAGGCTGCCAGAGGGGGTCAGAGCAGAGACTGACAGGGCCTGGCAAGGAGTGCCACTCGCCCCCTCCTAAGGTTGGCCCCATCCAGCAGTCATCTTGGCTCAGGAGGGCTTGACTCCAGGGTGTGAAGGGCCCAGCCCCCAGCAGCTCTTGGGGAAGGGACTACAAAATGGAAGACACAGACAAGCCAGAGCCAGTCCTGGGACACAAACACCAGTCAGTATATTTTATGTGCACAAATGTGAAAGGAAGAGACAGAGGGACCAACAGAGACACAGAGCAGGCAGTGGCCACACAAACCGGTCGTGTGTCCTTCTTGAGAGCTGCGCGGCTGGGCCAGTCTTACCTGCTTCAAGGGCCCCTCTGCAGTGCTGGGGCGGGCTCGGGGTAGAAGGCACCCTCCCTGCCCCAGCTGCTCTGGGGTGGGCCTCACACCTGTCTGCATCCCAGCGTGATGTCTACACAGCTCAGAGCTCATAAATGCAGGTTCTCATGAACTGATCCTCATTGGCTGCCCCTACCCCCAGAAGACCCCTACAGAGCGAGGGACCGGGACAAAGGGCTTTGGGGGCACTCCCTAGGTATTATTGCTGTGGATAAGCATAGGCCATTGTGACTCTGGCATCGGAGAAGGGACAGGGCACAGGGGACGGGACGCCTAGCAGACATCAGAAGCGGTTCGACCATGCATGTTGCAATCTGTAACACAGAGATGCTGCCGTGTCCAGTGGAGAGAGGCCCAGGACACCCCCAGCCAGCAGACGCCCCCACCAGAGCCCCTGCCACTTGGCAGGGCTAGGATTGCCCTAGGTTTTGAGTCCCTGGGCAATAAAGGATCAGGGCGTTGAAAGGTAAGGTCCCCTGAAAGGAAAGAGTTGAAGTCTGGGCTCCCCCTGGTGAGATGTGAACCCAGAGATCCTGTGGTCAGGTCACAGGTTGTTGCCTCTCCTTGTTGGGGACTCGGTGCTCTGGGGAGGCAACAGGATGAAGCAGAAACACAATTCTCAACATCCCCAGGCACATGGGTTTACTTCAGGACCTCCTGCACCTAGGAGTTTCCAGGACCCAGAGAGAAAATGATGCCAGGGAGTGCCCACAAGGCAAGGTCTGTAGCAGTGAGCCCTGGTGGGCCAAGGGCTGGCTCCGGCTGAGAGTCATGGAGGCCTTATGCCCCTGGACATCAACAAGCTGTCCATCGAACTCAGGTGTGGCAGGGGTGTGTGCAGGTGGGTGCTGTGGTCTAGGAACCCACATGGAGAGTGTGGAGAGGTGTCGAGGGTCCCAGAGACTGAGACAACATGGAGTTGATGAGGGGCCCAAGGAAAAAATTGCCCAGAGGGTGCAGAGAAGCAGACAATGGCCTCCTTCTGGAATCCTCTCTGCCTGTAGATCTTCCCCTCATGGAAGCCTGATTCCTGTAACCCCCAAAGCCCTGGAATTGGGGTCACAATAAAATCTAAGATCAGGCTGGCCCCTGCAGAATGGAGTTCATCCCTGGACTGGAGGAGCCCGCCCAGGAAGCAGGCAGCAAAAGCCAGCTGCAGAAAAGTCCTGCCAAAGGCAGGGTCTCCCAGCCTTTCTCCCAACCTAGGACACCACTGCCACCAGCCCCACCTCACCCCGCCCCAGCCTGTGCCCCGGCAGATGCTGTCTGCAGTCTAGGTAGAACAGTCAGCAAGGAAGAGGAGAGCCTGTCCACGGTGGTGTTGTCACTTTTTAATGACCTATACAAAGGGAAAGGCTATTGCTACCTAAGAGTCCTGGTGTGGTCCAGATGAGACCACGGACCATGAGATGATGGGCCATTTTTTGACCAACCCCTCCCCTTGGGGAGTGGGAGGCAGAGCTGGAAGTAGGCTGGAGCAAGGATTTCACCTGTCCACTGCCAGCAATGGACCTGTCACTGGAAAGGGGTGGCCATCGAGGTGACAACGCCCATGAGCATGGCAGGGTTAATACTGTTTCAGTAGGAAGTTCAAAGGTGTCGCCAGGCCGGGAGGGGGCGGGGGAGGGGGCAGCCCTGAGAAGGCTTTGCTCCAGGACTGGGGCTATGGCAGAACCAGAGCTGATCCTGTACCACAAAGGCTGCTCCAAAGAGCCTACTGAGGTCGAAACGTCTTTTTCTTCCTGCCTCATTCTCCTTGGGTCTCCAGCGCTGGCTACCTGCTGCTCCAGCCCGCAGATAGCTAGACGGCTCAACTGGCTTGAAAATAAACCAGTCAGGGCATAGGTGACCCAGACCTCTGCCTTTTCCCCACAGAACTCACCTGCCTCTAGGTGCCCACTGTGGATCCACAGGGCCCACCTCTACGAGCTGTGCACTGGAGGCCATCTTAGTTTTCAGCTGGGCTGCTGTTCCAGGGGGTACTGCCACAGTTCACCAGAGAGAGGGGCATAACTCAGAACACC